GGGCTGGTAAAGTGCTAGTCGCGATCTTTTAAAATGATTTCGACACAAGCCCTTCACTTTTTAAATTTTAATGTTTTATTTATCTGTGCTTAGTAGGTCACACCTTAAGTGCTGTTGGCCGAACATAAGGTAGAAAATACATATAATTGGAGTGTTTGTATGTAATGTAGTAAAAATATTCATACATATGATCGTTGTTGATAATAAAAAAAATATCTATACTAATATAATAAAGCGTAAACACACACTTCTTTGTTGCCTAAGATGTCAGCAATCACAGCATATTTTTGAACAATTCTTTTTTAATAAAAAGCCCAACTCTTGCGTCACTCTTTATGCTATATATTTAAACGCCATTAAACTTAGGGGGTAAATATTTTGGATAAAAACCTTATTGTGGGAAAGAGAACATAAGTTGCTGAACATAAGAAAGAAACATTGCTAAGGTTTGTCATGTTATGTCATGTTGACATTTGTAATTGATAATTTGATAAATTTAAAGCGAAATAATAGCACAACAGTTGTGCGATAGTTTGGTCAAAGATGTGCGTCCATTTTAAACATTTGTTTAAAAAACGTTAACCAATGTCTGATTATAATTTCGTTGTCGATGAAATTTCATATCGTTCGATTTTTTATATTTATATATACGATAACCATAGTAATAAATACAAGGTTCTTTGTTTATATTGGTTTTATAATCTAGCGTAAATCTACAAATCCACTCAACAAGCATGAAGTATTTAATCTGTTACCAGTTTTTATTACCAACAGTTACGGTGTAAGGTAATAAAGATTTTACGTTACGTAACCATTTATTTACCGTGATAAACAGTAACAACTGTTATTTTAAATAAATAGTTCAGTTTTAAAACAAAATATTTGGAATGAAAATGTAAGATAATGTTATTCGTCTTATGTTTAATTTTCTTGTTTATTTGCGACTACGTCCATGTGGAATTGAAAAAAACAAAAGTGAGTAGCCTATGTGTTCTTCCAGACTATCCTCTACATCTATACCAAATTTCATAGAAATCCGTTCACCTGTTTAGGCTAAACTCTAACAAACATCCATCTACACTTTCGCATTTATAATATTAGTAAGAAGTAAGATAGAATGATATAAATTATTGTCTTTCGTAGAACACAAAAATATTACAATATTTTAATTCAAAAGAAATGGGAAAACAATATTTTAAAATAGGTGTTTCAGTTATTTGAAACACAAATTTATCATCTCTTTCTGCTAATATTTTAATGGCACAAAACCCCAAGACACATAACCGCACATAAAAACACAAAGAACCTCCATAGACCATAGTAACGAGGTTAACAACCTTCGCGCCGTTTTTGACGTTGACGTATTGCTTTTTTTAAAGCCGAAAGCTGTGATTACGCAATCGTTAGGCCAAGATTAAAAAATATAAAACACTAGCGTTCGCCCGCGACTCCGTCCGCGTGATATTAAAAAAAAAAAACCAAGTAGCCCACGTGTTCTTACAGACTATCCTCTACATCTATGCCAAATTTCATTGAGATCCGTTCAGCAGTTTAGGCTACAAACTAACAAACATCCATCCATCAATCTAAACTTTCACATTTATATTAGTATGATTAAGAAGTATTGAGTTCAGGAAATCCACACTTGACTGGTATAATCTTTGTTAAAAACGCTAATAATATTGTTGCTAAGCCAGTTATTAACAAAAGAATATTTTTGTTTTCTTGAATGGTTACACCCATTAATATATCAAGAGAAAAACACAAGTTATCATTCTGTTTTATATCTTAATTGTCTTTTAATAGTTATTGAGTGACATGTGATGTGAATTATATGATTATTCCTCTAGAAATAGAGTCCAACTAATATTCTCACTCGGGGTTAGGCGTACC